GACTTGCTCTTTCCTGCTCTGAAGCCTCACGGGATTTCCCTTCTCCAGCTGCACCAGTTGGTACCTTCGATCTGCTGTTGAATAGTCATGGTCAGAGGGAGCATCTGGCTGGGTGGGTAAAAAAGGTTTTAAAGGGTAAAAATAACTCTTTGGTATGAGAAGTGTTTGGGTATTTATCCAGCAAGTGATGAAAGCCCTTCTTATGCCTTGGAACTAGAAAAAAATAGTAAAAAGGGTAAAAGTAAAAAATCTGCTTTCATCATAGTTTACAGCAAACACTTGTGCTAAGCCCTGATTCTCCCTCTTCTTTTGACTCTTTATAAAGGTTTTGCTTTTTTTAAAAATATATTTTATTGATTATGCCATTACAGTTGTTCTATTCCCCCCCTTCATTCCCCTCCACCCTGTACCCCCTCCCCCACCATTTCACCCCTTTAGTTTATGACCATGTGTCTCAAGTTCTTTAGATTCTATATTTCCCATACTATTCTTGCCCCCCCATCTATTTTCTATCTATCATCTATGCTACTTATTTTCTGTACCTTCTCCCCCCTTCTCCTCCTCCCACTCCCCTGTTGCTAACCCTCCTTGAGATCTTCATTTCCATGTTTCCGCTCCTGATCTAGCTGTCCTGTTAGTTTGCTTTTGTTTTAGGTGTGGTTGTTAATAACTGTGAGTTTGCTGTCCTTTCACTGTTCATGTTTCTTTAACTTCTTTTTCTTAGATAAGTCCCTTTAACATTTCATATAATAAGGGCTTGATGATGATGAACTCCTTGAACTTGATCTTATCTGAGAAGCACTTTAGCTGTCCTTCCATTCTAAATGAAAGCTTTGCTGGATAGAGCAATCTTGGTTGTAGGTCTTTGGATTTCATGACTTGGAATAGCTCTTTCCAGCCCCTTCTTGCCTGTAAGGTCTCTTTTGAGAAATCCGCTGACAGTCTGATGGGGACTCCTTTGTAGGTGACTGTCCCCTTAGCTCTTGATGCTTCCAGGATTCTCTCCTTCATTTTAATCTTGGCTAATGTAATGATGATGTGCCTTGGTGTGTTTCTTCTTGGGTCCAACTTCTTTGGGACTCTCTGAGCTTCCTGGATTTCCTGGAAGTCTATTTCTTTTGCCGGATTGGGGAAATTCTCCTTTATTATTTGTTCAAATAAGTTTTCCACTGGTGGCTGTTCCTTTCCCCCTTCTGGTACCCCGATAATTCAGATATTGGAGCGTTTAAAGATGTCCTGGAGTTTCCTAAGACTCTCCTCATTTTTTTGAATTCTTGCTTCTTCACTCTTTTCTGTTTGGCCATTATTTGCTTTCTTCTGGTCCACTCCACTGATTTGAGTCCCAGTTTCCTTTTCATCGCTTTTGGTTTCCTGTGCAATTCCATTCATTTCAATTAGTTTCGCCTTCATATGTTTGTCTAATTTGTGGCTCTAATCGATCAGTTCTGTGAGGATCCTGATCACCAGTGTTTTAAACTGTGTGTCTGAGAGTTTTGCTATTTCTTCATCGCTTAGATTTATAGGCTCTGGGGCTTTGAGATCTTCTTGAGCCATTTTTGGTCTGTTTGGGCCCTTTAAGTGCGAGGAGCGGAGCCTTGGACTCCCAGGTTGCTGGGTTGTGACGCTGCATGTGGAGGTGGGGTTAGAGCGGGGAAATGGTTGCGCCCTCCGCTGCCCCTAGCCGCTGGGGCTGCTGGCTCTCGTCCAATCACCCACTCCCTCGCTTGTCTATCCACACACGAATGCGAGACCACAGTCAACCTGCAGCCCTGCTCCCTCGCTGTTTCCCCGCGGTCGCTCGCTGAGTTGCCCACCAGGTCCAACCCTGGGCCTGGATTCCACGCACCTGAGTCCGTCTGACCGAGTTTTCCTGTGCAACCCCGCTCTGCCAGCTACTGGTTTTGCCCCTCTTACCGGTCAGGTTGAAGAATTTGTTGTTATCAGACTTCCGAAAAGTTCAATTTTATGTGTTCTGGCTGTGTTTTCTGTTGCTAATATTTAGTTGTCTCTAAACTTGGTTGTGTGAGGAAGCACAGCTTCTCCACCTGTGCCTCCATCTTGGCGGAAGTCTTCTCTCAAGTTCTTTAGATTCTATATTTCCCCTATTCTTGCCCTCCCCGTCTATTTTCTCCCCACTGTCTATGCTACTTATTTTCTGTACCGTCTCCCCCCTTCTCCTTCTCTTACTCCCCTGTTGCTAACCCTCCCTGTGATCTTCATTTCTATGGTTCACTCCTGATCTAGCTGTCCTCTTAGTTTGCTTTTGTTTTAGGTGTGGTTGTTAATAACTGTGAGTTTGCTGTCCTTTCACTGTTCATCTTTTTAATCTTCTTTTTCTTAGGTAAGTCCTTTTAACATTTCATATAATAAAGGCTTGCTGATGATGAACTCCTTGAACTTGATCTTATCTGAGAAGCATTTTATCTGCCCTTCCATTCTAAATGAAAGCTTTGCTGGATAGAGCAATCTTGGTTGTAGGTCTTTGGATTTCATGACTTGGAATACCTCTTTCCAGCCTCTTCTTGCCTGCAAGGTCTCTTTTGAGAAGTCTGCTGACAGTCCTTTGTAGGTGACTGTCCCCTTAATCTCTTGATGCTTCTAGGATTCTCTCCTTCTTTTTAATCTTGGCTTATGTAATTATGATGTTCCTTGGTGTGTTCCTCCTTGGCTCCAACTTCTTTGGGACTCTCTGTGAGCTTCCTGTATTTCCTGGAAGTCTATTGCCTTTGCCAGATCGGGAAAGTTCTCTTTTATTATTTGTTCAAATAACTTTTCCACTTGCTCTTTCTCTTCTCCTTCTGGTACCCCTATAATTTGGATGTTGGAACATTTAAAGATGTTCTGGAGGTTCCTAAGCCTCTCCTCATTTTTTTTGAATTGTTTCTTCATTCTTTTCTGTTTGGTCATTTTTTCTTTTCCTTCTGGTCCACTCCCTTGATTTGAGTCCCAGACCCCCGGAGCTGATAACTCTAAGTGACCAAGAAATTGCCAACCTATGAGATGCACAGTTCAAAACACTGGTGATCAGGATGCTCACAGAACTGGTTGATTTTAGTCACAGATTAGAGGAACAAATGAAGGCTAAACTAATTGAAATGAAGGGAAATGCACAGGAAACCAATAGTGATGGAAAGGTTTTGTTCTTCATCCGTTCGCTCCTCTGGGAGTGACAAATGCTCACAGCTCTCCCGGCCTGGCCTTAGGTTCCTTCTCGCTGACTTTCGCTGTGCCTGCCTGTGCGAAGGAGGCACCACCCTTGCTTTTAGAAAGGAGGAGACAGGGGTTTAGTGACGTTGAAGGACATACTCCTTGTAAGGGTGGGACTGTGACTTTGAGTCTGTGTCTTCTCCCAGTTCGAGTTTTTCTAAGCTCTCATGTATTTCTTTCTCAGGAGTCTGAATGTTGAAGAGTAACATTCAGTATATTTTCAGAAAGCAATGGTCTTCAACTCTTCCCTACATTGAAGGTGACGATGCAGTGCTCAGGGACATGGCGGGCAGGCTCCAGGTCTCTGCGTGGGACCTGGCGTCATTGACGGAGTGGTTTCTCTTCTTCGATACCATGGGAGAATGGAGAGGAAGGTTCCGTGTGATGTCAGGGATCGGAGGACGGGATGCGTGTCAAGGTGTCCAGGAGCCACCACAGTGCCCGAGAGAGGAGGCACTCGGATATCAAAAATTAGGGTTTATTTAGTATGTACCCCGTTCTACATTTGTTACTCGTGTTTCCTGTTTTGACCCTCAGAACCATAAGGTGTTTAGTTTGTTTATTTTTAGAGAGAGAGAGAGGGGAAGGGTGGGAGAAAGGGGGAGAGACACATCATGTGAGGCAGAAACGTCCATCTGTTGCCTCTCATATGCGCCCTGACCAGGCATGTGCCATGACTGGGAATTGAACCGGTAAACCTTTCACTTTGCCAGATGGTGCCCAACCTATTGAGCCATGTCAGTCATGGCAAGGGTAATTAAAAATTTAGTATAGATGAGAAAATTGATGCCTGAGAGTTAATTAACTTGCCAGAGCCCTCAGCAATAGCAAGGCTGGAAATCTGCAGATCCAGGCCCTGACCCACACCCCAGACAGCGGTCAGATGCATAGCTAAATGGGTGAAGTTCTGGGGTTATGAGAGAGGAGCGTGTTCAACCTCCTGTATGTAGGCCTGAGTCCAGTGAACTGCTCCGTTTCTTAACGGCAGTGGCTGCTTTTGCAATTCACCAAGGAAATGAAAAGGCCGCTTGCACTCAGGAAGGAAGGCAGGCACCTGAATGCCTGGAATTCTTCATGTATCATGTGAACTCAATGGTGTTTCAGCATCCTAGAGTTGTCACGAAACTGTGCAAAGTGCAAACCAGCTTCACACATAACCCACGATTCTCAGGGCTAAATGCTGAGCTCGCGCCTGCACGAGCAGCTGCCCGAGGTCGAGGCCAGCCTGGTGGTGCACACTGGAGCTAAAACACAGGCCCTCGGTGGCTTCGGGGTCACTCAGCCTGAACCCCGGGAGGGGGAGGCCAAAGTCACCCTGAGCGGACCCCGGGCTTGCTTTCACTGCCTCAATTTACCTAATCCTGCGCTTCCACGCCCTGTCTCCTTTCGCTTCTGTTTTGCAAAAGCAAAAGGGCCTGGCCTCACGCTCAGGACCTTCTAAAACCGCGAGACTGGCCGGCAGGGCGCTGCGGGCACCTGCAGGAGGGTGAGGCCCGCCGGCAGGAATCTTGGCTGAGAAACCGGGGTCTGTCGCAACCGCCGCGCGGGCGTCCGGATACGCGCCTGAGGCCGTGGACCGCCTCGGAATGGAGTGCGGGCGCCGCGGGCGCAGCTGCCGCGCTGGAACCGGGCGGGCGGCGTTCGCGGTCGGGGCAGATGGGCGGGGCCGTGCGTGACGGAGCCCAGCGCGGCCCGCAAAGGCCTGGAGGGTAAATGACGTACGTGGCTCCAACCCGCGCCGAGGCCCCGCCCCTGGAGCGCTGGCCCCGCCCCGCGCTGGCGGCGCTGACGTGTCCGCGCGCGTTTCCTCCTCTCCCCGCCGCCGTCCGGCACCTGAGGGGCGGGCTGGCGGGCGGCGCTCCCCGCCCGGCCCTCGGCCTGGCCCCCGGCGCGCTGCCCATCCGGACCGCGGTATATATGCCAGCGGCGCTGACCCGGAGCAGAGCCCTGTGGACGCCGCGGCGGAGAGGTCGTACGGTGAGAGCAGCGGGGACAAGGTGTGGGGCGGGGATCGGCGGCCGGGCTGGGGGCCGAGGGCGGGCTGTGGAGCTAGCGTGGTCGCACGTGGACGGGGCCGGGGCACGGCGGCAGTTAGGCCAGCGGGGGCTCGGGGGGCGGGGTGGCCCGCACCGACGGGCTGGGTCCCGGGGAGTGACTGCGGTTCCGAGGGCGGCGCCCCGGGGGCGGAGGTGCCTGCGGGACGTGACAGCGGCAGCCCACGCGCCCCGCTCGGCTCGCGGCGTTGGGTTCCCCTGGGGACGGCGGAGGGCGGGCGGGCGCGGGGACCGGTGGGCTCCGGCACGGGGTGGGTGGGCCGGGCCTTTGGGTTGCAGGGGTGGCGCTGTCGCGAGCGGGGCAGGACGTGCTGCTCCGGGAACGTGGCCTCGGTGGGCGGGTCAGAGCCGCGGGTGACGCCAGGTTTGTGGTCGTCGGATGCTGGACACCGGGCTCGGAGCGCCGCTCCCGGAGTCGGGGGCCAGGGCGCTGCCGCAGCTGTGGCTTCTCTGCCTGAGAAAGTCACACACGTGTTGTTGTTGCCTCCACGAGGGCGAGGCCGGGCGGCGCAGGTGCCAGTATTTGCTGGGACTGGTTTTCTTGCCTGAAGGTGGGTGGGTGTCGAACGTCTTTTAGGAAAAGGTCAGCTTGGAGCTTCAAGTGGGATAATAATGCTGTGTGTCCGCCCCCTGAGCACTCAGCCCGTGGGCTGTCGGGCAGCGTCCCCTGCGGGGCCAAGAGTGTGCTCAGGGAGGCGACACGGTTCGCAGGGTGTCCCCACGGGCGGGGAGGGACCATACGGGGACTCCTGTTCTCAGGTCTCCCCCGTTGCTTGGAAAAAATCGTTCCATAGGAACCTGTGTCTCTCAGCTGCCCCTTCAACATGGTATATTTTATTTTATTTTTTTAAACATAGTATTTATTTTTAGAGAGGAGGGAAGGGAGTAAGAGAGGGAGAGAAACATCAGTGTGTGGTTGCCTCTGGTACACCCCCTACTGGGGACCTGGCCCACAACCTGGGCATATGCCCTGACTGGGAATTGAACCAGGACCCTTTGTTTTGCAGGCGGTTCTCAATCCACTGAGCCACACCAGCCAGGACAGATGGTGTGCTGTTAAAATTCAGTAACAGCATTCTATCTTCTGAAACCCACGTATGCCAATAGAAATGCCTTTGATATCTCAGTGAGCCCCCAGCTCTGTCTGCTGACTGCCCTCCTAGGAATCCCACTGAGCCCTTGACTCGGGTCTTGTATGCCGGTGACCTCTGAACTGCAGATGCTTGCATTTTATGTCTTGTCAGCACATCCCTTTGGATGTCTAATGCTCATCTCAGACTGACCACGACCCACAGTGAGGATCAAGCCTCCCTCTCTGCTCATACGTCCCTAAGTCTGCATGTCCTATGTGTCCCCATCTTAGTGCAGGGGACCCTGCCTGGAGTCAGCTCTGCTTGACGCCCCTGGTCCTCTCACCCCACCCTGAGCCTGTAACCCAGCCCTCCAGGTGGTTCCGTGACAGCCAGCTGGCTCCCCTTGGGCCTTCCCGACCGTCTTCCCCCACACGGCAGTGAGCGATCCTGTCAAACCTGCCTCCAACCAGCACACTGGCTGCTCCGAGTCTCCACCTGGCTTCCCACCCCCCGCACCCCTGCCTCGACCACAAGACCCCTGCTCGTTTCCCCAGCCCCCTTTCCAGTCGCCCCCAGCTTTGGTCCCCTGGCTGTGGCAGCATCAGCCTTCGCGCTTCCCTCCAGCAGGCGGAGCGCCCGCCGCCCTGCAGCTGCTGCGCCTGAGGCTTCCGCTCCAGAGAAGAAAGGAGACTGCCCGAGACCCGAGGCTGTCCGAGGGTCTTCTGGGGTGGCTTAGTGGTCCAAGGAGGCGTGCAGAGGGGAGCTGACTGCATGTGGTGGCGTGTGAGCCCGGGAGTCAGTCTGTCTGTGCCGACGTCCCGCTCAGCCCACTGAGAGCAGAGAGAATGAGAGGACCCATGTCACAGTGTGGCTGAGGATGAGCGAGACCGTGTAGGTGACGGACTCGGCGCAGTGCCCGACAGATAATGCTGCGTGCTCTCTCACAGCTCTGACGTCTCACAGGTTTCTAGATGGGGAGGCTGATGTTCCTGTCTTACCCTCTGGGTTTTTTCGTGTGCTCATTTTTAGTAAGAAAAACCTGTCAGGTTTCGAGGTAGGACTTTGACCTTCTGTTGATCCTTTTCTCTTGCAGGTTCATAGGTGCGGAAATCACCCCTTGTCTTCACAAAGCGGGGTGCCCAGAGTATCATGAATGTCAATGAGCTCAAACTCAGGTTGTCCCGGGCTGGGCAGGAGCACCTGCTACAGTTCTGGGATGAGCTGGAAGAGGCCCAGCAGGCGGAACTGTATGCAGAGCTCCAGGCCATGAACTTTGAGGAGCTGAACATCTTTTTCCAAAAGGCCATGGAAGGGTTCCATCCGTCCTCTCAGCTAGAGAAGGTGGACATGCGGATGGAGCCTGTGCCACGGGAGGTGCTCGGCAGCGCCACTCGGGATCGAGACCAGCTCCAGGCCTGGGAAAGCGAAGGTACGGGCTTGGAGACTGTGTGCTCTGAGCTATCGTGAGATGCGCTGTGCCGCTAAAGCCAGCGAGCTGTGCGTGGTCAGCGCTGGGACCGTCACACTGCCTCAGCCAGGTGGCCGTCTGAAAGTGGCGGTTGATTTGCTAAGACCTGTGCCTCCCATTGCTGGTCCCTGTGTTCCCTGCTCGTCCCTGTGCCCAATCCGGGCCTCTTCTCATTCAGGTCGTAAATCACCTCTAGTCCCTTCCCTCCTCAGCGTCCATGCTCCTAGGTTTCCCTTCCCGAAGCACAAGTTACGAGTTCATGCTGCTTGATCCAGCAAGCACTGCCCTGCCTCCCCTCCGGCTCTCCAGGCCTGGGGACCCCTGGGGCGCCTCTCCTGCTTCTGCTCATGCTGCCGTGGGTGGCCCACCCTGGGGCCACCGTGTGGCTGCCTCCTGCAGCTCTGCCTGGGGGGCCTCTTGCCCCCGTGCCACGCTTCGCGTGCACTGCCTGGCCCACGGCCGTGTCTGCTGGGTCCAGGTCCCAGGTGCCAGGTGGGTGTCTCTGCAGCCTGGCTTTCGTCCCGCCTGCGGTGAGAGTTGCTGACGTCAGCACAAGGGCTCCTCGAGCCCCTGCAGAGCAGCCCACGGCGTGTCCTGCGGACTGCGCGTCACATGCCGCTTTGAGCCAGTTTCCGTTGTCAACTGGTTGGTATTTCTGCTGAGTTGCCTGGTGCTTTTTCTTCTGAAGTGGATCAGGGACCTGTCCCCGTGACTCGCACTATGCCATGCTTTTGAGAATGATGGCATCACTCACGTGCCACTGTCTGGGCAGAGGTGAGAGCCGGCTCTTCCTGACCTTGTTCCCGGGGGTGACAGTCTGACTGGGGATGCAACCCGGGCCCCTGAGTCTCACCTGTGCTCTCTGGACTCATTTCCCAAGTGTGCGATTAGACTGATGCTGGTCCTTCCTCTTAAAAAACGTGACGTCACCGCAGAAGGAACGTCAACACGGCAGGAACAGCACAGAGAAGCTGCTGCCGGCTCATCAGCTCTGTGGTGTTTGCACCCCCTGCCACCTGGCCCTGATGGTCACTTTTCTCAGGGGGCAGTGGGGGTGGAGGTGGCACCTTGAGGTCTGTGTGTGTGCCCCACTGTAGCTGTTTTTAGACTGCGTCCCATTCTCAGGCACTCCCTGCCCTCCCTCACAACGACAGAGGTGACTGCTGTCCCCGGCCTTCTGTGTAGCTCTCCGTGTCTTTGTCTGGACTTAGAGACTGGCTGACTTTCAAACTGTGTTCCAAAGAGCCCCAGGGGTTCCGCTCCCAGACACTGGACGCCGTCTCAGGTGGGCTGGGGAACGGAGTCTGAGCAGGTGGGTCTCCATCCCCCTCCCTTCCCACCACCGGAGCAGTTCTACCTGACCTGTTGTGTGAGTCTGATCTTTGCGTGAGTTTTAGTGAAAGGGCCTGGAGACAAAAGAGCACTGAAAACAGTTGGACGATCTTCAAGGAGGGCCTCGAGGCTCTAAAGGGCTTGGTAGTGACGGCCCAGCTCCTCCTTAGCAAAGGCCCCCCCCCCACTGAGCTGGGGGGAGTGGCCTCCAGACACCGGGGAAAGGAGGGCGTCCTGGAAGGCTGCGACCACTGCCCGAGGACCCATCAGTCCTGCCTCCTTCGCCCCTGGGGCTCCATCTCCAAGCCCCACAGGCCTTGGGTCCCCACCCCCAGGACCCCCGCTGCCAGTACCCTCCGCAGCCCTCTGGGCCTAGAGTCGGGTCAGCCCTTACAGACAGCTCCAGCACTGACCTTGGGATGTCAGGGCCACAGTGACTCTGCAGGATCCCCAGAACCTGAGTCTTTAAGGCCTTTTGTTGGATCTGTGCAGCTGGTTTACATTTACGATTTCTCCTTTAAGTTAAACACGGGGAACAGTGCACCCCAGCGAGTATCAGAAGGTCCAAAGCAAACTTCCTTTTGGCTTCATGTCCAGGGAAAATATTTATTCATGGGTGTGGAGAAGGAGACTTTGTCACTGACATTATGTCCTTATTGCTCAGCCTCACACTTCCACGTGTGCAAACTCCCAGCAGAGTGAGGTTCCCGCAGGAGCCGTCAGAGGGGAGAGGGTGCCCCTGTGAGTGTCCCGACACTGTGTTGCAGGAAGGACACGCTCCAGGGGAATCCTGGTACTGGGTGGAGGACGGTGTTTCACCCCCAGGGCAGGGGCAGAGAGCGGGGCTGTGCAGGGGTTTCGAAGGGCCTGGGGGCTGCCGACGTGGAAGGCTGTCGAGGCAGATACTCGAGTGGCCACAGCACTCCTTGCAGAAGAGAGATTTTGCTTTAAGTTAATTCTTCTAAGTGTCCAGGCCGCTATGGAGGAGCAACCAAGAAACCTCCGTCTGACCAAGCTGAGCTTTTGAGAGAGAAAGAAGTCATTTTAGGAAAGATACTCAGTTGGGAAAATGTATTTGCTTAATAACCCTCCCCCATTCTTTTAAAAATAACTGTATGTTTATACTAAGTATAAAAGAATCTTTCAATTTTACCGTGTGGTAGCAGATTAGCATTCACGGTTGGCCGCTTCTGCCTAGGGGCCACGTGGAAAGTTAACCTCCGGGCTGGCTCTCAGTCGTGCAGCCCTGCGGCCGATGGGGGGGGGGGGTCCTGTGGGGGAGAGTGTTCCCCGGACGGCTTCTCGGCGTTCCTGAGACCGCGCAGGGACGTTTCCACGGGCTTGTTTAATTTAAAGGTCACACGTGCTCACGTTAGAGCAGGTGGAAGTTACTGACGGTCACGGGCAAAACCGGACGTTGCCGCCACCCCACAAGCCAGAGGTGACTGCTGGGGGGTGTTTTCTCACATGCACATATGCACGGGTTATGGTTCGTGTATAGTTTTGTAGCCTGCTTTGATCATCTGTGTCAGAAGCATTCCGAGCTTTGGAACAGACATTGGAGAGAACAACAGTACGATGAACTCCCTCGCCTGCCTCCCCTTGATTAAACAATGATCAGAAGTGTGCTGCTTCTGCTTCAGCCCGTTTTGTTCTCTCCGCCGGGGTATCTAAGGCAGACCCCAGCTTCGTGGCGTGCAGGCCTCCCAGAGTTCAGCAGTGTCCCCGAGCCTCGGGACCTGTCCTCACTGCGCACACATCACTTCTGTGCCGATGAAATGCACAGTGATCCCCAGTAACTGCAGTGCTTCAGGGGTTTCCTTAGTCAGTCTGTTCACCTCACGTGCTTAAAGTGCGCTTGACACGTTGGGGAGAGAGTTCATCTGTAACGTCCATGTCGGCCGTGGTTCAGAGTGATGGAAAGGCCTGTGTTCCCCACAGCTGGTCCGGGCGCCACACTTGCAGGGGGTCTGGCAGCCTCCTGCCCAGCCAGGCAGCTGCCCACGTCGAGGTGTGTGGGGGGTGGAAGTTACCCAGGAAGTGTTGGGGCTGTGACGTCGCTGTGAACTCTCTGGTTCCCGGAGACGGTGCCAGGAAGCGTGTCTGGGACTCCAGGGAGGGGCTCCCTGTGCCCCGGCCTCGGGTTCCCCCCTGACCTCTGACGCGGTCCGTTTGCGGTCCCCTCTGGAGGAAGCCTTCGAACGTGCGGGTGAAGTTCATTTATACCCAGTTAATACTCCTGAGCCTTGGTCTTTGCCTTCCAGCGTCACCAGAAAGAAAATTGCTGGTTCATTAAAGTGTGTTATGTGGTGTTTGGTTGGGTTGTGCATATGAATTTCTCCCTCACACAAGCGTTTTTATCAACAAGAGAGTCCCCAGGACTGCGCGTGGGCCCCCACTCAGTTTGTGGGAGGCTGGCCTGTGCACGTTTGTCCTGGAGTGCTGACCCGGAGCTCTGCTGACCCCAGTGTTTCCTTTCCCAGGGCTTTTCCAGATCTCCCAGAGCAAAGTGGCTGTCCTTCTCCTGGCTGGGGGGCAGGGGACCCGGCTCGGAGTGGCCTACCCCAAGGGGATGTACGACGTGGGCTTGCCGTCCCACAAGACCCTGTTCCAGATTCAGGCAGAGCGCATCCTGAAGCTTCAGCAGCTGGCGGAGAAGCGCTGTGGCCACCCGTGCACCATCCCTTGGTGAGACGCCTGGGGCCCACGGGTGGGTGCGTACTCCCCACAGCAGACTCGGTCCCTGTCCCCACTGCTGACTTGGGACCTGCAGCTTCACAGGCCAGAGGCAGGGCGTGTGAGGGTGACACAGGGACCCTGTCCCTTCAAGGGGCAGCACCCATGCTCCTCCAGCGCCGGCCCCGACCCGGGTCCCTGTGTGTCCTGGCGGGCACTCTCACTCTGGAAACCCCGTGCTGGTTGGTGGTCCGTCATGTGTGGAGTGTCTGGTTGAAAACTGGAATCTTGGAATGGGAAGGCTTTGCTCTGCTGTTCCCGGCACTGGGGGGTCGGCAGGAGTCCCGAGTCCCAGTGTTCTGTTTGCTGTCCTCACCCTCAGGACCCGCAGCGTCACACCGCCGTGGCGTGGCCTTATCTTCAGTGGGTTTTCTCTGTCTAGGGTCTCGATCTTCAGTACCAGCCCATGCAGCCCTCCCAACCCGTCCCCACGCAGCTGACAGCCCCTGACCCCTCTGCCGCGGGGCCAGAGTGGGCTGTGCCTGCTGCCTGCGTGTCTTCGGGGGGGCCCCCCCTGCCAGGGTGCCTGTCTTTAGCTCCAGGCGAGGGCGGCAGTTTTGGGAATTCTGCTCTGCTTTGTACAAGGCTTTGATTGAGTTCTTTAATCTCTTTCCCCCAGAAGTTAGTGCGCCCAGAGGGGCAGGCAGCCAGCTGTGGGTGTCTGATTCCTGAGGTCCCTAATCCTTGTCACTCAGCCCATGTGACCAGCCAGGGCTCTGCTGGCTTCTCTGTCCTGCCTGGACCCAAGTCAGCAAGTAGCCCAGGAAGTGGCAGCTGCGTGTCTTCAGCCCCCGGGAAAGTCGCTCTGGTCAGGGCTGCTTCTGCAGCTCTGACACCTTCCAGTGACTCTCCCAGGGGCCCAGTGCCTCCCATACAAGCTGGCCCGCCTGCGGAGTCCTGCTTCGTCCCCCTCCCTCTGGGGACGTTAGGGGATGTCGGTGTTCTGAGCGGCCAACACCGGACTCCTAGCCCAGGCTCCTCTCGGTCCTGCGGCTTTTTTTCTCCCCTCACAGTGCTCGTGACCTGTTTCTCATGGGCACCTTTTGTCCCCTTGTGAGTTGTGCCCAAGCTGTTTGCATGCAGACCTCTGGGTGCCCAGGGCACTTCGTTGAAGAGACAGACAGCTGCTAGGGTGGGACACCAGGTGGCTTCGCCCACTTCCTCCCTGAGCCACTCGGCAGACGCCACTGAGCACCTGCGTCCGGTGCTGCTTGTAGACAGGATCGCTGCCCCCGTGCCACCTGGCAGAGCCGGGTCTCCGTGCAGCCCAGAGTGCAGTTAGTGCTGTGGCTCTGAAGGAAGGTGACCAGAACCCAGGTTCCATTTCCAAACTGAACCAAAGACTCATTAGAACGTATCGCGGTTACCCCTTGTCTCTGTTTATTTAGAGGGGTTTTTATGGGCCAGTCCGCCGTCCCCAGAGTTCTGGAACAGCCGAACTCTCCAGAGCTGGGGACTCTGGCCGGAGACTGTGTTGCGGGATGTTTGGTGCTGTCCCGCAGAGTCATCGGATGCGTGAGGGGATGGGAGAGGGCCCCTTGCAGGAGGCCCGGCCACTCAGCCCCCTGCGGGTGGGGAGGGGACAGCAGGGCTGCGTGCGAGGTGCCCTTTTCTCTCGGAAGGTACATAATGACCAGCGGCAGAACAATGGAGTCCACCAGGGAGTTCTTCGCCAGGCACAAGTACTTCGGCCTGAAGAAGGAGGACGTCATCTTTTTCCAGCAGGGCATGCTGCCGGCCATGAGTTTTGACGGGAAAATCATTCTGGAAGAGAAGTACAAGGTCTCTATGGCTCCAGGTTGGTGGCCCTCTTATGTAGGGGTGACTAGAAAGGGTGGTGGCCAAAACGGTCAATTGTTATTTTCTCTTGAATATGGTCGTTCGGATGTTAAAAATTAACACTGAAGTACGTGCGTATTTTTTGTAGTTTGGCAGTGGTTTATCAAAGGCGTCCACGCCCGTGGGGGCAGCTTTTGCCCTCTGTGGGCGCCGCCCCGGGCGGGCGCCTGTGCGGCCCGATTCAGGCTCTGTGCCCTGCGCTCTGCGTGGCGGCGCCCTCGGTGCCGCATCTCCTGCTGAGGACACGAGGACACGGGCGGCTCCTGCCGTTCACACAGGCCCGGCTGGGTCAGAGTTCGTCGCCGTGTCACTCCTCACGGAGGGGTGAACGCTCTTTGGAGGTGGTTCAGGACCAGGAAGGGGCGGCTCCAGCAGGTGGAGTGCGGGAGCGAGAAGCTCACAGGGCGCTCTTGGCGCCTCGGCTCCGCAGGGGCCCAGGCCGCACTGCCGCCCGGTGTGATGCCCCGGGAAGTGATGCCCCGGGAAGGGAGCCGCGTGGGTCGCACGTGGAGGAAAACGTGGAGGGGAGGGCTGGCAGGAAATAAGCAGCGGTGCTCTCAGTTCATCCTTTTCTCTTCTACCTGACTCTTTACTCCGCACAGGAATTGCCGTTCTTAGTTCTGTCTGTGAACTGTCTGTGATGTCTGGTTCTTGTCACGGTTTGAGCTGTGGCCCAGGTTGCCACTGGTGCAGGCGCGTGGGGCCGCAGCCAAAGTGGACGGGAGGAGCGGGGGTCTTCCCGGGCTCAGCGTCACTCGGGTCAAGTCCGTGATCTGGCACAAAACGCTCGCTCACGCGGGAGGTGCGGGGAGGGGCCGGGCTGTGCACACAGAGCCCGTCGAGTTGGGCAAGCATGGTTAGTAAACCCGACCTGTCACGGGACCGTCACCGGCCCGTACGTGGTTCTGCACCACCTGTCACAGGCTGCGCTGTGAACGAGGCAGGTTCCAAAGGAAACCGTGCTCTTTGGGGTGGACTTGTCCTTCCTGAGCAGTGTCCTTCTCTGGGTGGCCGCACCGCACCCCCTTCAAGGTCACGCAGTGTGACCACACTGTGTCTTTCTTGTGGGGGCTCCGCTTCCCCTGGCCCCGGGACGCCGCCTTCGGGTGGCCTTCATGGGGGGCTCGGCTGTGCTGCTAAGAGACCGCTCTGCCCACAGATGGGAACGGTGGCCTGTACCGGGCGCTGGCGGCGCAGCGCGTGGTGGAGGACATGGAGCGGAGGGGCGTGGTGGCTGTGCACGTCTACTGTGTGGACAACATCCTGGTGCGGGTGGCGGACCCGCGGTTCATCGGCTTCTGCCTCCAGAAGGGGGCGGACTGTGGGGCAAAGGTGAGTAGGGCCTCGGTCACCGTGGGCGGCCCGTGGGCCTTCTCTCTCGGCCCCTGTGCGCAGAGTCCAGCTGGAGTCACTGGGGAGACTGGAATATCTTAGGCCCCTCATCTCCCCAAAGCACGTGACCCCCCCCCCCAGCTCCTTTTCTTAAATCGGCAGCATTTGACTTTAGAAGGAACCCTGTGCACTTGCCTGTCACAGCTCCAGGCCAGGGACAGACCCGTTGGTGCCGACGGCGCTGGGGCAGGTGGCCGGAGTCGTAGGTGCGGGCGGCTCAGGAGGCTTGGCCGCCAGCCAGGAGGGCGACAGGAAGTTCCACAGGTGTCCTGTGAGCAGGACGGTCGGAGGCAGGTGGAGGGGGAGGGTGGCTGAGGTGAAGAACTGTTGGGTGACCGTGAGCCGACACTGAGCTGGGGGTCTGTCCGGCCGTGCGGCACGGCCCTGCCCTGGCTCTGCCCTGCGCAGCGTCTCTGGCTGTGGAGCCGATGCTGCAGGAGACAGGCCGCCGTGGTGGCAGGGAAGCTGTGTCGCATGTCCCGGGATCAGGTAGACAGGAAACACGGAGCACCTTTGGGACACCTTAGAGGCCTTAAAGTGTTAATATAAAGGCTACCTTCCTGGACATCGATAAAGGTGTCATTCTCTTTGAGTTAAAGTATGACACATCCTGATCAAAGTCCGACTGAGGCCATTCTGGGGACATCTGGGGACAGAACGATGATAAGCTTTACAGTAAACATGTACAGACGGCCAGGAAAGTGGTGGAAAGGGGTGAGAGGAAGGAGAGAAGGGGGCTGCAGAGGGTCCCTGACTCTGGTGAAACCCAGGAGTGCCGTGCATTGCTGATGCCAGGACCGAATGACAGACAGGATGGGGTCAGACGGCAGACACAGTCCGTGTGCACGCAGGGACGCGCCCTGTGAACACTCGCCGTTCTGACCAGTGGCCTTGGCGGTCTGTGTGGACTTAGAGAAGTCAGCGGCTGGAGAAGAGTTTTAACCTAGTTGCTGCGATTCCATCTGTACTTAGGACAGACTTTTCCAGCAGAGACAGACCTTGCAAAGCGCTCAGAAGCACGCTGAGCCATTAGCTGGACTGACAGACAAGGCAGCACCTTCAGACACTTTTTGTCGCGCTCCTCTGCGGGAGAGTGGTGCCCCCCACAGCTTCTCCTGGGCAGTCTTGGGGGAGCGGTGGGGAGCCGGTCAGAGCATCGAACATTCTCACATTGCCCTCCGATTTCTGGGCACACCTTCCCCACCAGCCCAGAGCCGTTGGCAGATGGTCAGGTCACGGGTTTGAAAGTGTAGCATGTCCCCACACAAACTCTGGCGTGGGAAGCCGATGACTGGGGGGCCTTTCCATCTCAAGTTCATGTAGGGCCTGGGGACCTGCCCGCCCCACCCCCACCGCCTGGCGGAGCCCCGGAAAGTGAGGCCGGTGCTGTGTTCGGAGTGAGCCTGAAGGTTGGCGCGGTGCCAGCCAGGGCGGAACACTGCAGTTCCTTGATCTCGTGCCTCCCAGGGAAGCTGTGTTCCGCTTATTCTCAAAGTGGCTGAGTGTGGCTGAGGACGAAGCGAATGGTGGGCGTGGAGCTACGTGGGGGGCAGGCTCCCCACCTCCAACTGCCCCCAGGCCAGTGCCTCCTCTGGGCTCTGGGTCCGCCGGGCACTCTGCCCCCTGGTGTGTCGGGTGTTAAACCTTATGGTTGTAATGGGTCGTTCAAAGGAGGTGAAGGGGCAGGTGACCGTCTGAAGTTAAAGATCGCTCTTGACTCGTTGCTGTAAAGACAATGCAATCGCAGTGGCAAGTGTGGCCGTTGAGAGCGGTCGATGGCCAGCAGCCTGCTGTCTGTCCGGGCAGGTGGTGGAGAAGACGAACCCGACGGAGCCGGTGGGCGTGGTGTGCCGTGTGGATGGCGTGTACCAGGTGGTGGAGTACAGCGAGATCTCGCTGGCCACGGCGCAGCAGCGGGGCCCGGACGGGCGGCTGCTGTTCAGTGCGGGGAACATCGCCAACCACTTCTTCACCGTGCCGTTCCTGAGGGATGTCGTCAGGTACAGGGGCCGGCTTTGGGGGTTCTCACTGCTTGTTAATCATAAACGGGGCAACATGAGAGTAGGGTGTGCCCGAGTCCAGTCCTGCAGAGCCCGTCCTTGTCCTGAGGGGCCCCTTCACCCAGCAGCAGTGCCCTCACACTGTGGTTGTCAGCGGGTGAGGAGCCCACTCCCGGGGCATGAGCTGAGGGCACAGCATCGCCCGTTCCCCCCCCCCGGCCCCCACCAGCCAGATCCTGGGGAAGCACAGGCTGAAAATGACCTCGTCTCTCCCACAACCGGACACTTGAAGGTGCAGATGTCCTCAGGCTATGGGGCCAGGATTCCCAGAGGTGGTTGTGGGGTGCCTGTGTGATGAGGAACTGCTTGAGCACTTTAAGGGAGCCGCTCCCTGATGAGCCCCGAGGGGCTTGTGCAATAGACTGGGGAGAGCAGAGCCTGCAGCTGGACGGAGGCGTGGCGGTCCGCCCTGAGGTCTGAGCAGGAGCCGTGTGTCCCCAGGCACCAGGGTGGAGGGCACTCTGCTGCCCAATTGTCCACTCCGGGCCCTCGGAGTCACAGCTCCGTCACTCTGCTCAGAGCATCAGCTCCAGGCCCTCGCCGATTCCCTGCCCACAGCACTGCCCGCACCTCGTTAACTAGTCCGCAGCAACTGCTGACGCTCAGCCCCCACCCCGAACCAGGAGGGCTCTCGGGAAAGCTGGGCAAAGAGAATGTTTGTGAAACCTGGGTCGTGGGGGAGACGTGGTGTGAGTAGTGGGTGGCACGTGGGTCTCACGTTGCGGCCTCAGACCGGCGGCCGAGCGCTGGCCCCTGGGCCTGGCGGCCAGCTCGCGGCGTTCGGCATTCACACAGCGCTGTCCTTTGCCCTGCACAGTGTGCACGAGCCTCGGCTGCAGCACCACGTGGCTCAGAAGAAGGTCCCCTGTGTGGACCCCCAGGGCCGGCCCGTCAGGCCCGACAAACCCAACGGGATCAAGATGGAAAAGTTCGTCTTCGACATCTTCCAGTTTGCCAAGTAGGTTTTGCGTGACCAGTCGGACAAAACACGTGCCTGGGACCTGCCTGGCACTGTCCTCGGTGGGACGCTGTTCTCGCGGCCTGATGGTGGGCAAGGGGTGGGGATGAGTCTCAGCTCGGGCGAGCCGCCGGCTCGTGGGTGTGCAAGGTGCCCCCGAGGGTGCTCTTTACAGCACCTTCCCGTTGCCCACTCTTCTGCCAGATCGTTCACATCACTGTTTTGGCTGAGACTACCAGCTAGGTAGAGGGAGGCCCCGGGTTGAGGGCTCCTCGCCACCTGAGAGCAGGCGTCTCCACCAGAGGCCACACCTGGTCTGCAGTGGGAGTCTCCGAGGTGACCGACATGAAAATGCAGGAGACGGGGCAGCCAGCAGTGGTCCTACCACCAGACACCCTTCTGTCCCCCTTGTTGTCTGGGGCGGACACTCCGGGGCCCTTCTGCACTGAGGTTCCTAGTCCCCCTGACCCGCCAGGTGGGGAGGGTCTCGCCTGGCTGTGGAAGCGAGCTGTATTTCCTCCGCCTCCGCCTGCAGTGGGGCCTGAGAGCCGGCCGGTGGGGCTGCCCGGTGGGGTCCCCATGCAGAGCTCCGCCTCCAGCCGAGTCAATGTTCGGTCCGCACAGGCGGTTCGTGGTGTACGAGGTTCTTCGGGAGGACGAGTTCTCTCCGCTGAAGAATGCGGACAGCCAGGACGGCAAGGACACCCCCACCACCGCGCGGCACGCCCTCATGTCCCTGCACCACTGCTGGGTGCTCAACGCCGGGGGCCACTTCGTGGACGAGAACGGCTCCCGCCTGCCTGCAATTCCCCGGTAGGCCACCCTCCCGCCCTCCCACCTGCTCTCTGGTGGTCCCTCGTCTCTAACAAAGGCGGGGGCCCGTGGGCGCTGGCTGAGGCGCACTCACAACAGCTTCACTCTCTGAGAGAGGAGTCCCGTCCGAGTCCCTCGTGTCTTCCGGCTGTGTCTGCCATGCCGTGAAGGGACCCCACCAGAGGATGGGCGAAGGCAGCCCCCTGGTGCGCCCTGCGGTCCAGGCTGGCCGCAGCAATGGTCTCACTCACACCTCTGTGGGCTCACAGCACGGCTCGCTGTGGGGCGCCCCGAATGTCCCACCGCCCCCATGGACTGACGAGACACAGGTCCGTGTCTCATGTGGGCGTGCACCCTCAGGTCACTGAGAGAGGCGCCAAGAGGGGAGGAAAGGCCCCTCACCATCCGTGGTGCTGAACCTCTCTAAATGTTCTGGGACTTGGAAGTTAGAATGAGAAGGTGCCTCTGCCTCTTCAGATCTGAGGTGCAGCCCTCTGAGCTCAGTTGTGTGTCTTAGGACACGACCTTCACTGGCACCCAGAGCCCCGCTGAGTGGTCACACGGGAGCGTCTGCCCTGAGGTTTGCGTTCCCTGGACAGTGCGTCTGGCACAGGAGCACTGAGGGGCCGGGTTCATCCGGGCTGCGGTTCCACAGGCCCGGCCTCCCCGGCCTCGCCAGCCTCCCCGGCCTCGCCAGCCAGCTGCTCTGTGCTGCCCCAGGCGTCCTCAGCCCCTCCACCTCCTTCGCCAGGTGCAGCGTTCACCGTGAACGCTGCCCCGGTCTGTGCCCTCTGCAGTTCCCCTGCACCGTCCTGTTGGGTCGCCCCTCCCACTAACGCCTCTCTATTCCCACCCAGCGCCGCTGCGAGCCAACAGCCTGAGGCCGGCACCGCCCACGTCAGCGACAAGTAAATACACCGGCCTGCCTGCGGCGCATGGTGACGGGCTGCGCTTCCCGCACTAACGGCCGCGTGGCTGGCTCTGCCTCTCTGGGGCCGGGCGGGGGGGCTCCGGGGGCTCTGCTGCTTCCTCGGTGGCAGGCGTCTGCCTGGGTGACACTAACTCGAAGCCGCAGCGCATGCTGGGCGTGGGTGGCATGCCTCACCAAGACCCGCCCGTGGTGTCTGGGTGCTCGGGGACACACGGGCAGGGGCCGCGGGACCCAGAGCACCCCCTCCACGTGGGTGCAGCCTGGCGAGAGACACTGCGTGGTGCGTCTCCCTGGACGGGAGGGAGGCCCAGTCTGCGGGGGCTGGGCAGACCCCCCTTCAGTTTCCTGCTCTCCTGCCGGCAGCGCCCCCTTTTGGTCTCTCTGTGTCATTGTCACTTCCTGTCCTGCTCCTACGCCCGTGTCTTTCTGTCTTTAGAGTAGATCCCTTTTAGCTGTGGCTCCATGTGTCTCTTCTCCGCTGGGCGCCAGTCAGGACAGGCCGTGGCGTTCAGAGCTCAGGGGACGGCGTTCTGTGCTCGTTCCACGTCCACGGCGACGAGGTTTAGGCTGAGTTTTACGTTGTTGGGTGACCGGGGAGCGCGTTCAGGGCACAGGGGCTGGGCAGCCGTTTCTCCGTGTGAGTGGAGCGCTGGCGGCGGTCTCGCCCGCGCTCTCCTGCCTGAGCCAGTCGCCTGTGCCCTGCGGAGGCCGGTGCCTGTGTCCGTCAGCGTCTCTGGGGTGTGGCCCCGGCTCCCTGGACGGCCCGCAGTCGGACTTCCCCTTGGAGCCTCTGATGGCCGCTCCCTCACGCAGGGCCCTGGGGGCCAGCCCTTCGCTTTCTGTCCCTGCAGCATTGGAAGCGAGTCGCTTTTGTGATGTAAGAAATAAGTCTGGGTCCTAAACTTTCTTCTCATTGAACCCCAGCTTTCAACCTGAAAAGTGGCAATTTCTTACCCACCCACTGGGACACCACCTCTGGCTAAGACACAAGAAGTTACCCACAGCCAGACCTTGCTCAAGTGGTTTTAGCTAGTACTTTCCTCGCCGTTCACTTTATTTTAGCCCTTTGTGGAATAATGAAACTGAAATCGTTGTCCCCAAATGAGGTCACGTGGCTCCTGCTGAACCCCCAGAACCCCTAGAGAGGAGACGACAGCGTGAGCGGTGGAGGGGGGGCACCCGGGCTCCGAGAATGGGAGGCAGGAGGCAGGGGCTGGGTTCCTGCGAAGGGACGTCATTTCTGTTTTCACCTGCTGACCAGCATTCGCTTGTGAACGCGTCCTTGGGCCCATGGGTCCTTGGTGTCAGCGTCCTTGGGCCCATGGCTCTCTCCTGAGATCGTTGTTTGGCGACGGGCTCCCGTCATCCCTCTTCAGGGGGCCCGGCTTTGCTCATTCGAGTCGACTTCCTCAGTTTCTCCCTTCTCTGGGTGGAGTGCCATTGTGTTCAGAACAGCCTCGAGTTTCTCGGGTGAGAGCCCCCTTCCGGTCCCGGCACCCCATGTGCCGGGGCTGCAGCGCCGGGGTCTCACTCTGCCGTTTGGTGCCTGCGCCTCCGAGCCGCCCTGCCTCTCACATCCGCACGGGCCCGACCGGGTCTGGAGAGCCACCACCGCCTTTAAAGCTCTCTGGCTCTGACCCTGGCCGCCCCCGGACCTGCAGGTGCCGTGGGCTCGCACCAGAGCACACGCCATTTCTTGCAGCAGCTGGGAGGGGCAGGGTGCTCACACGTGGAGGTGCACGTCTGTGTGCTCCATGCTCTGTGCGGGGCACACACAGTGGCGGCCCCGGGAGGCAGCGGCGACACAGGTGTCTCTGAGCCTGGTTGCGGGTGAACGAGTGAATGAGGCCACTGCAGGGAAGAGGCGGTTGGGAAGACTGGGTGCAGGCTGTGTCTCGGAGGACGGGTGGGCCCGCACGGTTGCAGGGCCCTGGTGGGGGATGAGCTGGCACAGGCCTGAGAGTGTGGGAGCGGCCTGGCCGGAGTGGGGAGTGGCCCGCGGCATCCACTGTGGCTGGGCCGAGTGCTGGAACATGGCCGGTGGCTCTGCTGGGCAAGGGCCCAGGTGGCTGCCCCCTGGGGCCCTCGGGTCTGTTCCCTGTGCCATGGCTTCAGGCCACACAGTAGTGTGGAGACAGGGCCCATGGGGACAGGGGCTGTGGTGCAAGTGAGGGAGACAGTGTGCCTGGGGACCTCGTGCCCTGTGGCTGAGACCCCTGAAACGGCGAAGAGCTTGCAGGTCTCAGGACTTCAAGGGCGTTTGACTGACATGCTGTTGGTTGGCTGTTGCATCAGGCGGCTGTCAGTGTGGACGGTGACCGGGCCTGCCTGTGTGCGCTGCAGCTGCCTCGCTGCCCCCAGGGCCCTGGCGGGAGCTGCGTGGGGCACACTATCTGTGTGTCCAGTTGTCCGGACGCATGACCACAGGGCACTGAAGATGTGGCCATTACGCGGCAGAGCTGAATTTTCAAGTCACAGTCAACTTTTACAGTTTTGACGAGTCTGAGTGGCCCCATGCATGTGGCAGAGAGTGGCTGCTGTTCAAGGGACCTCAGAGTTCAAGTCTCGGTTGACACTTGTGCCTGAGTCTCTGGGCCGTGTGCAGGGCTGAAGGGAGGCGTGAGGGACCACAGCACCCAGTGACCAGCCTGGGGCGTGGTGTGCGGTCAGCACACAGTCCTTACTTTGTCACCTGGACCAGTGGCTGTGACGAGAGGGAGATGTCAGGGGAGGGGCGTGTCCCGCCAAAAGGAGGCACTGGCAGGCAGGGGCGAAAGTCCCAGACTATCTTCTGACCTTGGCCTCTTAACATCACCTTGACCCCCCGGGGACCCAGCGGACGGTGGGGCTGTTTCTTAGCAGAACGTCGCCATGGGCAGCCTCTCAGAGGAAAGCGCGTCTACCCTGTCACTCTGGTGGAGGACACGGGGACGGTCTCTAACGCACCTGGTCTCCCCGCAGCCTGAAGGACGCCAGCGATGTCCCGATACAGTGTGAAGTCTCTCCCCTCGTCTCCTACGCGGGAGAAGTGAGTTTCTTTGCTTTTCCTACTTCAATGGAGTAGATTCTGGTCCAGTTTCACGTTCCAGTCACGCTGCCGACAGGCCAGAGTGTCGTGGGGACCCTGCCCTGCGTGGTCCCCCTGGAGGGGGGCCACCTGGCTGCCTCTGCTCTCAGTCCTTTGCCTCCAGAGTCCAGTCCTGGTGTTGGCGCCGCCCCTGAGGGTGCTGGTTCGTCGTGCAGGCTTCTCAGCAAGCGCTTGTCCGCCTTGTGCTGCAGGCTGCTCACCTGCCCACTGGGACGGGGGTCTGCTCTGTGCCCGCACTGCTGCGCTCACCCCTAAGTCAGGGTCCTGCCCTGCCCTGCAGCGAGGCTTCTGGGGGTGGGGCCTGGTGTTGCCCAGCGTAGGCCAGGAGGGCCAGCGCACGTGGGGTGGTCACATGGAAAAGGGGCACCGCCCACTGACTTTAGAAATGATACTGTCAGCAGAATAATTCCACTTTTTGCTGATTGGCTCAGGTGGTTGTGAATAGGTCACGAAGCCCAGTTGTAGAACTTTCCCTGATAGGTCTTTATTGACTTAAATTGTGCACTTCAGCCCAGCTTTTGCCTGTGAGCCACGAATTGCACATCACGGGACCACCGTGCACCAGCCCCCTGACCCTGTCCCCGCTGTCGCCCCTCAGGGACTGGAGAGTCACGTGGCCGACAGGGAGCTCCGCGCCCCTCTGGTCATCGACGAGCACGGTGTCCACGAGCTGGTGAAGAACGGGCTCTGAGGGGCCGCCTCCCCGGCCGCCGGGACCCCCAGTGCCCCTCCCGGCCATCCCACTCCAGCAAGTACGTCCATGTGGCTGGACTTGAGAAAGCATTTTCATGATTCTGCACTCATTGAAGGTCTTATTTATGTTTCCCAATTCGACAGTGTTCTCCAAGCCCAGGAGAACGTCAGCGTGGAGACGGTCAGGGCACACGGTGACTCTGTGGGGCTGGGGGCGTCCGGTCCACGCTCCACTGTGTGGTCGTGTGCACTGCCCACGCAGAGAGGTTTCTGCAGCACCAGATGTTCGCTTTGTCTTATCAAAAGTAAACTTTCTAAAGGAACAACTGGGCAGTAAAATAAACTTCTCTTTTTGTTTCTGGAGTGTCATTTGTACCCTGAGGACGTTATTCCACTGGGAAGAGAGGAGACTTAGAGGGCACAGAGAAAAGGCAGAAATCCCAGGCCGGCACTGAGGGAAGCGCAGACCCAGAGGTTTCTGACTCTGGGCCTGGGTCTTGCCTGCAGATGAATCGTCCTCCATGCAGGCATTTGGTCACGGCGGGGCGGGCACCAGGCCCGTTCTCCATGGAGGTGTCTGCCTGGGCGCAGGGGCCTGGCCTCGCCAGCGCTGGGTCCTCCATGCCCGAGTCCCAGGGGCACTTGGGGCTCAGGGGGTCCCTCCTGCGTTGCCCAGGCCGGGCAACCCCTGCCCTTCCAGGTGGGTTTTTTGCTTGTTTTTAGCGAAAAAGAGAGTGAGAATAACATGGTTTTTTAGAATATGGGCCATAGATCATCTGTAAGGGTTATCTGTGTCTAAAAATACTCTGCATGGAAACCTGGAGCTTTAGAAAGATACTTTACATGGCGTTCATTGACGGAAAGCACAGGAAATCAGTGTCTGGAGCAAGGAAGCGTTCTAAACGTCATGTCCACGGAAGACCTATCAGTTCACTTCCCGCTGGTGGGGGGGGTAACGGCGGGGGACGGTGGTCTTCCATGGAATAGGGTTTGAGGGTCTGGTCTTTCCCCTTTTTTTAAAGGAGCATGTGATGTTATCTAAATTTATTTGTGCCAAGGCTTAAATAATGTGTTGAGCCTATTTTGAGCCTATTTTTCGCCCTATTTCAACAGCAGCCACTTCTGCCGTCGTCCACCCCATTTTCTCAACGGGATCTGTGAGGAGCCCTGGCGGGTGGCCTGGCGGCTGGCGTCCCCCAGTGGACTGAGAGGCTGCGGGCTGGGCCCCAGCGTCCCTGGGCCTGGACACTGCTGTGCGTTCCTGGGGAGGCGGGCGCGGGGCCCTGTCTCCGTGGTCACGGAAACTGCCCCCAGCCCCTCGCTGGTGCAGCCTCCCGCTGCAGTTCTCCACAGGCTCTGCGCAGGAAAAGGCTGTTTAAAGCGGCCCCACCCAGGATTTGCAAATCAACCCTTGACTGAGAGCATAATGAAAATATCCATTTTCAGTCGTCAGGCCAAGTAAAAGTGCTGTTTTAGATACGTTTCCTTATTTTCTTCCAAGTCTGCAACTGAAATGCTGATGACAGGTCCACATCTCCATGATCTACTTCTTTTTTATGTTGAGTTTGTTCATAGCCTCCAACCCAGAACGCCGACTTTATTTTCATTTGCTTCCTTTCTCTGAAAACTACAAGTCAAGTTTCCGTACATTATTCCCAAACCCGCTTCCTCCCTTCTCTCCACCCCTGGGTTCTCAAATAATCGCCGCTTTGTGAAGAGCCGGACAAGGGCAAACCACCGGTGACCGGTGCGGGTTCCAGTCCTGCATTAACCAGCACGAGGCTCCATCGGGGACCCCGTCTGGCCTGGTGGGGACCAGCCTTCGCCGAATGCGTCTGAGACGCTCCGCATGGTTTTCCATGGGCTGCGGACAGGTGTGGGGCAGGTGGGACACACCATGGGGACATCACCTGGTGACACTGGAACGTGAACAATTAGAAGGTGGACAAACATTTTATTTGTATCATTACCTAGAAGGCGTGTGTGTGTGTGTGTGGCTGCTTTGCTCCTTCATTTTCTTTCGGACATTACTCTCAACACGGGCATTTCGGAACACGGTTACGATTCGGCAAATATTGTTTCAGATTCGAGGTTCCCTGGGCTGTTTCTGGGGGCCCCGACTTTGACGCCAATTTCACAGCAGAAATAAAAATGCTGTAGAGTCGAGGTCAAGAGCCAGGTGGCCTCCAGCGGCCCCCCGCCTCTTGCCTTCCTTGGGTGTCCTCGGTCTCCCGTCAGCCACCTCAGGCGCACCTCCACTGGTTGTCACCTTTCCACTGTCTTCCGAGATGCCTGGGGCCCCCCACCCCGTGATGATGAAGTGACCGGGGCTCCCTGTCCTTGTCTGCAGTGGCGGGGGGGTGGGAAGGGGGGCTCGGTTCAGCAGGACTCCAAGGAATATTCCCAGTCGTGGGGTGCGAGCCTCGCTCGGCGGCTCTGGACTTTCCCTGGAGCCCGAGGGCCACCCTCTCTGTCCGTGCTCCCAGCAGCTCCACCGGCTGCCGCTCGGTGACACTTTCCCCGAGGTTCTGTGAGGCAGACGTTGCCCTCGTGAGCCCCCTCGTTCTTCACAGCAGCCCATCCCAGCTGCCCACCGTCAGGGGTGCGGGGCGTGGAGCGTCTGTTGTTTATGGGGATTAACCAAAACAACAGCGACAAAAACCAGAAGGAAACACACTTCAAAGAGGTGTCCTCTCCGACCTGGGCCTGACCCCAGGGAGCCAGCCCCCGACCCTGCTGGGCTCTGAGGTTGCAGCCATTCCAGGGGACAGGCCCTGTCTCCAGTCACGTCCGGGGACATTCATTTCCCATTTTCCATGGGAGGCACCCTCCCCACCGGGCCGCACCGCCTCCCGAGGGGCATAAATCACCCCAGTGACATCACTCACGTTTCCCAGGCAAAGCAGGGACAGGTCTCCCCGAGTCTGCTCACACGCCGGCAGGAATTCCGGCTGTGCCCCAGACTTTGTCACAGGGTTCTGCGAGGCTCGGGTGACTTCCTGAGTACCCTCCATTCCTCCCAGCTGCCCCGGGGGGAGCACCCGCCGCCCCCACCAGGGCCCGCTCCTGCAGACACTTGACTCTGGTCCCCCACGGCTGTGAACACCCCTAAGTTGGCTCAGGCAAATGTTCAGGTTTCCTTTGGTCTTTTCGGTGGCACCTCCTTCCAAGGGTTCAAGGTTGGACCTGGACTGGCTGAGCATGCGCTGGTATTTTTCTGATTGCTTCTCCTTCCCTCTGACTCAGTGCGGTGGCACTTGGGTCTTCTGTCCCCAGAAGTCCCCTTGGTCAGCCAGCCTTCTGTGTGTCTGGGTTGGAGTCGACGTCACCGGCTGAAGCAGATCTGAGTGGTTCACGCACACGGACCGCGAACACGGGTCTTTGCAGACAGGGACGGCAGCCCATCCCTCGTTAGTGTCTGCTCGATGATGGTTTCCATGGGTGGCTGGGGGCCTCACCCAGGCCAAAATCTCAGGCCTACGGGCGCAGTGTCCATCGTAACTCGGACAGGTCCAACCACAACAGGCCCGGGTACTGGGGAGGATTCTGGGACTGCTGCTTTTTAGGATTTACCTTTTCCTAGTTTTGTTGAGAAATAATCGTGATCCGTTGCTGTATAAATTTCAGTTATGGTTTCATTCACATACATCATGGAATGATTATAGTAGGTTCACCTAACATGTACCTTCACCTTTCTGTACCTTCTCATATAGATACAGAAAGAAAAGAAGAAAGGAAGGAAGGGAGGGAGAAAGGGAGGGAGGGAGGAAGGAAGGAAAGGGGGAAAAAAAAGAGAAATAAGAGTCTCCTCGCTGTGATGAGAGCTTCCAGGACTCACTGCTTCCTGGCCGTGTGCGTCCTTCCTGTACTGATGAGAACACACCTGTGGTCACCGAGCTGCAGTCACGGAACTGGAGCTCGTTTGTCTTAAAACTGAAGTCGGTGCCTTCCGACCCCTTCCTCCCACTGCCCGGCCCCGGCCCCTGGTAACTAACCGCAGTCTGATCGCTTTGTCCAGGAGTTTTTTTCCTTGTTTTGAGAGTGCGCACACACACGAGCTCGTCCTGCATTAGTCGGTTCCCATCTGGCCAGTTTCTTTGAACGCGCCACCTGCCGGCCGCTCCGTGTTACTGCAGTGGCAGCACTTCCCCGTTTCTGAGGCTGAACCCAGCTCCTTGTGAGGGTCTCCCGCCGCTGCAGGACCACGTCCCCCACCAAGTGTCTGCCGCAGTGCGAGCCGAGCTCCCGGGAGCCGAGGGCCCTGGCCCAGCCTCCAGATCCTCCCGGTCATTCGAATGGCCATTCCCGTAGGTCCTGTCTGTGCCGTCTCCCCTTTGTGAGGCAGCCCCTGTTCCGGTTTCTCCTCTGGGGTCTCGTGTTCTGTCTGTCGCCTGCGCAGGGGCAGCCCGAGTCCTTGCACCCTCCAGCTGTGGCTCCCAGACACGCGTGGCCGGTTTCTGACTGGTCGGGGGGCCTCCAGGGGACTTGGCCCAGCAGTGCAGCCCGTCGAGGCCGCCCCACGGGGCCCCTCGTCCTGTTCCTCTAGGAAGCAGCTCCTGCTCCACGGTCCCTGCCCAGGTTCTGGTTTGCCCCCCACCCTTGCTCCCCTGGGGGGCAGTGCGACCAAGGCGGCCGTCCAGGTGCAAGTGGGCAGGAGACGGGGTGGCCTCAGGGCCTGAGGCTGGGGGCGTCTGAGGGGGGCTGTCTCTGGAAGGCGTTAGGTCTCCCTGTTACCCCCGTCTCCTGACTTTGGGCCTCTGGGGCAGCGGGGGGGCTGCCTGGGACCCGCCAGGCTCCGGAGGGCGGAGGCCACCAGCCTGGGCGGACGGACCGGACGATAAGCTGTCATTTGCAGGCCTCCCCTCCCCTTGGCTTCCTCCCTTGGCCTGCCTTCCCCTCCACACCATCTCTGGCCATGGCCACAGACGGGAGGGAAAAAAAACACGTTTTGAAAACAATTTAGAAAGTCCTTGTAAACGCTCGTGTTTTCATTTAGCAGCCTGAACCTGGGACAGCAACAGGCCCTCCGAGGCAGCGACCAACAGGGAATCGAGTGGGAAAACCCTGGAGCCTCCGATGGCCCCGTGTTTCTGGTGGGGGTGGGGGGGAGGGTGGGACAAAGTTGGGTCTCCGGAGGGAGGGCCCAGCTCCAGGCTTTCACGGGTAAAACACGGGAGATCAGCTGCATGTATGTGACCCAGCTGTCCCGGAAGCTGCGGCCGAGAGAGAGCCCCAAGCCTCCTCTGTGCCCGAGCTCCTGCTGAGGGAGAAGATGAGGCGGGGTCACCTCTTGGGGCCCGTCCTCCAGGGAGGGGGCTTGGGGACAGGGCGGAGGAGGCCGGTGTCTTTCGGACTGTTCCCGGGCCGAGCATATTTTTTCTTCTATGAATGGGTTTTGCTGTAAATTACAGCTCTGCCCTTGGTCCCGTGGGTCAGCACAGCGAGGCTCCAAACAGGGGACGGCTCTGATTGGTGCCTCTGCCCCTGCTCCCAGCCCCTCCTAATTGAAACCAAATGTGCTGTGTGCTGGATGCTGGGAGCCTGGCGCCTCCCCAGGAATCCTCAGAATGTGAGGTTCTCGCAAAGGCGTCTTGCATCAGCCCGTGGATGTGTGCCTGCCACCGGCTCCCGCGCGGGCAGGGCGGGAAAAGGGGCCTTCCACACCCAAGCCCCGCTTCGGGGCCGGGGGACGCCACGGACAGCAGCCGCCCTGCTTTCTCCTTCCCGCAGCCGCGCGCTCCTGGACGAATGTGAGTGACGCGAGTTTCTGCCTTTCTTTCGTTTTCCGAAAGCGAAAGCGCTCACGGTGCCTCTCCTGGCCTGTTAGGAAAAGTGGACAAAGGAGGCCCAAGCCGCCGGGGACCGTGGACTCCAGAAATCAAGGTCCTGCCTTTTTAGGGTCTGGAGGGAGGCTTAAAAAGAGCTAAGAGCAAGAACATGGGCAGAATCGGGGGACCCCGCAGTGGCTGCCAGTCCCAGCAGCAGCCCGCCAATCTGGGGTCCGAGGAGCCAGGCCAAGGGACGTAGAGCTGGACCGGGCAGAGGCGCCGGGTGGGGAGCTGCGGCTTCGGGCCTCGGAGGGGGCCCCGTTCGGGAGAGGCCGTCAGGGGGGGCTTTCGTTTGCACGGAGTGCTGACTTGTCCAGAGAGGGGCGCCTTGGGCAGAGGGGCGGCCTCATACCTCAGCTCCGCGCCGATGGGGCCTGAGTGGACGGTGGTGGGAAACCCCGAGGGCGGCCTGGTCCTCCCACCTCATCGCTGGACTGGGCTGCTGTCCCCTTTGTTAGTGGGACTCGGGGCTGTTTGCCACCGGGACCTCACAGTACTGGCAGCGGCTCAAAAGTCCCATCCAAGGGGAAGGAGTGTTTTTTTCCCCCGAGCGGCGGAAGCCGTCAGGCCAGCCATTTCGGGCGGGAGTTTGCACTGCCAGGCCCGCGGGGCCTCAGCACCATTTTGCTGACGGCCCAGCTTCAGCACCGTCCGCAGGAAGACGGGAGGACGGACAGAGAGCCGGGGCCTCTCCGGGCCCCGCTTCACGGGGGCTGCAAGTGAGCTGACCTGAGCAAGGGTCTCCAGACTCCCCACCGGGCGCCCTCCGAGGCCAGGGTCCTACCGGACCTTAGTTAGCTGCCAGCACAGGACGGTGGCCGTCAGTGAGCAGGGAGCGGGGCACTGGTGTCCATGGCACTTTCGACCGAGGGTGGAGACCAGCCAGCGGACACCCGAGGGCTCACCCGCCCCGGGCCCCATGCATGGGGCGGCCGCACCCGCCGTCCCGTGGGCATCGGCCCCAGGGCAAGGACGTCGGGGCTCAGAGCAGGGGACCTGCTGCTCAGAGAATCGCAGCTGGTGACCTAGACTCTCAGGTGCACCTGGCTCTTGCTCTGTGCTTGTTGCGATGGCTGGCGTCTCGCTGTTGAAACGGAATCTCGGCTGGCACCCGAGGAGGGTGAGGGCAGTTTCCGGTGTCCGCGGGCGTCAGGGACCGTCCGTCACTGCCATGGCCGCGTCAGCGCCCCTCACTCAGCTCTGGAAGTGTGTTCTCCCTGTGATGCGGGTGCACACCCGTGTCTGAGTCCCCGAGCCGTGACAGTGCTCACTGTCCCCACACGGGGTGGGGCAGGGTGGGCCGGGAGCCCTGTGGGATCTCCCCGGAGGTCGTCTGGAGCCTGGGGCCTGGGGAGGCCCGGGGGTGGCATCTCCGCTGCCTGGCGCAGCGCCCACCCCGTGTGCATCCTGGTCCCTGTGTGTGTGACTGGAATGGCGGCCGTGTCCATCGGTACTGTGGTTTAAAGACGCCGGCCGTGTCTGGGTCTGCAGGCCCCAAGGGGCCTGAGCACCCCGCTGTCGTGGGCAGCTGCCTCCTGGATCGGAAGCCATCTCTCCGCACGGACGGCTTTCCGCTGAAGCCGGTGGCCTGCTTGGCCTGGACCCCTCCCCAAACGTCGGTCACCGCATCGTCCCCGTGTGCCCTGCAGGGGCCTGTGCTGCCCAGGACAAGGCTGATTCAGGGTCGGTCTCCCAGTTTCTCTCTCCGAGTTTTTCCGGCTGAAACATTCGCAGGGCCGCTTTGCACCAAGGGACCTGGGGCGCTGCTTCTCACAGCGAAGCCCGCTGTGTGCGTGGGGGGCTGTGAGCGCAGGGCATGGGCCCAGGGGGGTCTCTGTGGGGGCATCAGCTGTTGCCGCCCAAGGTCCTGGATTTCCTCAGCCCCAGGTGCTCCAGCTGCGGTCACCCGGCTGGGTCAGCACGAGGCTGCAGGGAAGCGGCTGCCCTGCCGGTCCCGGGCCAATGAGGGTCACACACGCAGGTGAGAGGGGGCACCGACGGACTCAGCTGGGGTCTCCCACCTGCTCCTCCTCCAAGACCTGCGCTGTCCGGGCACCTGTTTCTCAGGGGCTTAGATTATTGGGATGATATTAAACGTGTGCTCACACGAAACTAGGATCTCCTTCCGTGGGGGCCCAGCCCAGCTCCTACCTCCACCCATGAGCGGCTTTTTCTGCATGTGGGCGGAGATTTGACAGCCCCCCCCCACCCCCTCATCTCTGTGCCCTTGGGCTCAGCCTTGGCCGGCGTCAGAATCCCCTGCGGAGCTTCATAAAAAGACAGGTGCTGGGTGCCGCCCCTGACCACCAACGAGACCTTCCGTGGGCAGTGACCGGGTGTCTGTGTTTTCTGACCACCTCCCTCGGGTGCGTTTTTGGGGTCACAAGGACCCGGGTGGCACTGTGCTCCCCCTTCCTCTCGTGGGCTTGCTCACCGAGCGTTTGCAGAGCCCTTTGAGGAGCAGACGGAGGGAGGAACATGGGTGGGCAGGGTGCATGGTCTGGGGAGGGCCCCAGGCGAACCAGAGACGCAGGTGTGAGCATCCCACGACAGACACCGTCCAGGCTCCCGGGGGCCACTCAGGGCGGAGGGCGCGGCCCTGTCTGTGCGAAGGAGCACGCACCCTCGAGGGCCCCCGGGCCGGGCTGGGGGCACCCACGGCTTCCCTTTCCTGAAACTGAGATGAGCAGGACTAGAACGGTGTGAACAGGTTTAGTAGATGCGACGTGTTCCTTCTTCCCCTCTGTGTCCTGTGCGCGAGCGGGACTGAGTGTCACCGACGGGCCCGATCGCACGAGCAGTCTCTCCTTCCAGCGTGTGTCTCGGTGGAGGGTCTGGGGGCGGCCGAGGGACATGAGCAAGTGTGGGCTCCGTGCCCCTGAGGGAACCCAGGGTCGGGGTGAGCGGCGCTCGGGCAGCAGCAGGCTGCTGTGACCAGTGGTGACAGACTGACCCTGACTCCGTCAGCAGTGAGGATGCAGCCGGGGTGGGCAGCTGGCCGGGAGCTCGGCGTGATCGCCCACACGGGGGTGCTCTCTCACGTTTGGGGGTGCTCTGGGCCTTGTGGAGTGTGAACGTGTCCCTCAGCTTAAAGCAGAAAGGAAGGAAAATTGTGGGGAGATGCAGTTAAGTCCCCCCGACTGAGAACGCTGCCGTCAGAGACTCGTCTGGAAGCGAAGGGGCCAAGTTCTGACCAGGCGGCGGGGGAACCCCGACAAGCTGGAGGGAGGGCCTGGAAGGACCCCGAGAAGCTGGCGTTGCTGCCGATGCCGATGGGGGGGGGGGGGGTCAGAGCAGGGAGCGACCGGGGCCAGCCTGAGAGCAGCACACAGGACCCGTTTGCCCAGGACAACTCAGAGTTGAAGACCAAGGTCAGGGCGGGGCTGTGAATTCCCCTGCGGCTGGGCACCTGGGTCGCCTGGGGCAGACGTGCTGGAGAGGCCAAGCCTCCGAGCAGGACAGACGTCTCCCTCTTCCTTCCTGGCCTCGCTGGGCCGTCACCCACTTCCTGCAGCGAGGGGCTCGGTGTGGGCGCCCCTGCTGGGGACGGACCCCCAGAGAGGTCGCTCCCTAAACAAAGGTGGTGTTTGCCCTCCCCTCTCCCCTCCTCCCCCCAACAGTCTGCCCACACCAGAGGCCTAAGGGGTCTTGGGCCGCCTCCGTGATGCGCGTTTCACAACGAGCAGTGCAGAGCCCCACGGCACCACTGACCAGAGGACTCACTGCAGGCCTCTCTGTCACACGGGCTTCCTCAGAGGTGACCAACTGAACCTCACGGCTCCGCCTCCAGACGCTGTCATTGTGGTCCTCCCTCCCCGCCACTTAATCTGAAGAGGCCGTTTCAGAAATTATTACTGCCTGGTCCCAGGCTCATGCCGTGATTAGCCTGGCTCACCTGGCGCCCCCGCCCCTCGGCCGTGGCGTGGGCCTGGAAGGGGCGCTTGGGGTGCCCCGGGAAGATGCTCCTGGGGCCTCTGGTCTCCGGGCTTCGTCCCCTCTGAGCTCGGGGAGACCGAGGGTCCTCGGGTTTGGAGACCTGAGTTTGGGTTTCCTGTGCGTCTCCTTAGGCAGAACTAGTGTTCAGCATCTAAACTGGAACCCCGGTGATGGAGGCGAGTTATAAACTCACACTGGGGCCCGGGGCTTCGTCCTCACGCGCCACGGTCATTCGCCTGCCTCTCAGGGCGCCCGCGTCTTTGCCGAGACTCAGAACCTTCGGTGGCGAAGGCCCGGTTCTGCTGTGTTGTCGGCTTGGGCCTGGGGGCTCCGGCTCGGGGCTCACAGCACCGGTGTTTCTGTGAGGCCGGAGCCGTCCCCAGGTCCCCTCACAGATGTCAGAACAAGCGGCCAGAGGACGCTGTCAGGAGGTGAGACGCGGGGTGCCAGCTCCCCTCTGGCCCCGTCCTGCTCTGGTCTCTCCGTTTTCCTTCCGCATCCCCCCCTTTCTGCCTGTCACTCACCCCTTCCCCTCTCTGTCTCTCCCCGAAGGGACACGGAGGAACAGGCTGCGCAGTGACGCCTCCTTTGGAGGAAACGCCAGCGTTTGCAGCTGTAGCTGCATTTTCCTTCGGGGGCTGGGGGCCGCCTCCGCCCCTCGTCCGGTTCTCCTGTCTCTGGGATGGGGCGTCTGGTCCGTGTGTCCCGGAGGACGTTTCCAGGGTGTGTGGCAGGGAGGGGGGCGTGGGGACTGGGACCGGAGTGTCCTGCAATGTCTGCGGTCCCAGGACGGGTCACGCACACGGGGGACAGTGGGGCGGTTTGGAATTCAGCTGTGCCAGGCGACTGACGAGACAGGACCACGGGGGACACGGGGACACGGGGTGCGTGGGTCTCGGGTCGGCTGGGACGCGCCTGGTGGGCCGGGCTCTGGGATCGTGAACAACACAAGCCGGTGGCACGAGGGGGTCAGTGCGCTCGTGTTTGTCCTGGGGTCTGAGGACCGGGGGCGCCGTTTCCAGTTGCGGAAACAGTAGCTGTGCACTGAGTGCCCGTGATGTTTGAGGGACTCGGGAGATGACCCGAAGGGGCCACGTGTGAAGCAGAGAGGACCCCAGC